GGTCATGGGGTCAGGCCCTCAGTGGTGTTAAATGTGCCTTGTGTTGTGCTGGTTCAGTCTGCATGCCAAGAAATCCCAGCAAGAAATACCCACCTCCCATCCCTGAAGTGTCATGCAATTAAAATGGGATGTCGAGGGACCACGCTGCAGTCCCCTGTGTCCTGGGTGCTATTCAGGGATGGCCTCCAAGACACCCCCCAGCCCCATGGTTACTGGGTGGCACTGAAAACGTGTTTGAAAGCCACTTATTCGTAGTCAGGGCCTCTTTTTTTCTTCCCACCATACCAAGTAGCATGAAACCTTGACACCTCATCATGGCAGCAGTGAAATGAGGGGAGTTAGAGGGAGATGCTTATTTTGGGTGGATGCGGCTTACAGCTGACGAGGAGGAAGACACTTTTGCTCTCGCAAAGTCATTTTCTCCATTGTGAAAATGTCATGGGGGTCAGCTCCAAACGACAGGCTGCTGTGCCCAGCCTGATCCCAGGGGAGCACAGCTGCTACCTGCTGCTTGCCCAAGCTAAGGGAGATCTCTCTTTCTATCTCTTTAAAAACATGTTTTTCTTGGGTGTCTCTTTGAAATTCTTAACAGAACTTTCAGCACAAACCACCACTTTTATTATCCTTCAGTACCCAACCTTCAGCATCTTCTCAAACCACTGAGCCCCTTTGCTCCTGGAAGGATTTTTTCCGAAAGGAAATATTTTTTCCCTCCCTGAAAGTGTCCTTATTAATGTTGAAGTTACAGTTGGCAGATGAAACACGTAAAACATCTTGATACGACATGAAAAGTGACAGGGTTGCTGGGCTGGACAGGGCAGGAGGAAGCTCTGTGCTGGTCCTGGCAGGTTTTGCTGCAGTATCCACGTGTGTGGAAAGGACAGGGCTGGCTCTGTAGCATCAGCTCATCACCCTAGCAGAGCTCTGACAGCTCTGTGAGGAGCAGCCGTGTCCCTCCCTGTGCATGCAAGTAAGGATTTGTGGGGCTCCCCATGTAAGTGAGCATCCTGACCTCTGCACAGGTGCCCTGTTTGCATTACATGGGATGTTAAATCTTGCCTTAATGTGACTGCCGAACACCAGTTTTTGTGAAGTGTGCTGGGCACTTCCCCATAAATAGATGATGGAGCATTATTCAGTCCACTTAGATCAATACATCAGCTTGACAAGTTCCAGTTCTGGGAATTTGCAGACCCCCTGGAACATCTTCTCTGCAGCTGTGCTGCTTATAAACTGTGTTATGTAGCCCAAACAAGCTCCAGGGAGCAGGGTATCAAGACCTGGTTGTGTTAGACCTGCCAGCTTGCTGGCCCGGTATTGCTGGGGATGGGAGCTGAGTTGAGTGCCAAACTGGACAAAGCCTGTATTCTTCCCCTGCAAGAAGCACTGTCACTGCTCAGCCTCACTGGTGTGCCTTCCACACACCGAAGACCATCTTTGTTCCCCAGCACTACCAGAAATGGGTCCTGGAGCTCTTGTTTCAGGCTATTTGCAAACTGAGGCAGATGTGTCGCTGCCACCAGGAAGGTTTGTGAGCCAGTGCAACAGGAGGATGGTTTCAGACCCATTTTACTTTGTTTTAAAGCCAGCCCAAGATGCTGTGATTCTGTGCACACAGCATCTCCATACCCTGGGCTGCTGTAGCCCATGTCTTATCCCTACTTCTGGTTATTTGGATTTGCTGCAGGTAGTGTGAGGTACAGGTTACCTAAGGACCTATCTCCCCATGCTGGCTCTTTTAACAAGGTGCTGGCTCTATGCATGGGAACACTGCCTATTCCTAATCTCCTGCTGCTGTTAGCTCACATTTATCACAGGAGTATCTGCTTACCTTTGATTTGAGATCCCTACATCAGGGACCCAGGGCGGTATTTGTCTGTGAACTGCTGTGTATGCCTATGGGATTGTATAAGTAAATAAATATAATTAATAATTATGTGACTTCAGAGCAGCATTGGCAGGGAGGTAAATGTACCCTTCATAGAATTACAAACAAAATCAGGAAAAAAGGAAGACCTTTCTGGGAGCTGGTATGAATGGAAATAATTGTGTTCAATCTGCTTGAAAATTACTCTGCAAACATCATTTGGGCTGTTTGTAGCAGATCAGAGGCACTGAGTTTATCTCTAAATCACAATTTTAACCTAAACCATTTAAAAATAGCTTTTTTAAAAGCTGCCTGCATTTCTGTCAATTAAAATGCAGATAAAAATAAAACACCGTGGGGTCCTGGCCCTGCTTCAGTGTCTGACCTAGAAGGGAGCAACTCAGTCCCTGCAACACCAGAATTGAACCAAAGGGAGGGACAAATTACTGCAATTTCCTCACAGAAAGGGTTTTATCAGGACTTTTTTTTTACATCCTTTGGCTTGAAGGTGGACCAGGAGCATCTGAGACTTCCTTATGGTTTGCCATAGGGAAAAGTGCTGAAGGGGCAGGGATCTGCTCCACCACCGGCAACTGTGGTGGTGGAGCCAGTGGGAGAGCAGCTGTGGTTGACACTAGTGTCCCAGTGGCAACCCTGGCGGGCTGGGGAGCCCCACATCAGCGAGCCTCCGACACTTTCTGCTTCGCTTTAACAGTCAGAAGAAGAACTTTCCTGTTTAAAGATTAAACATTGTCTTTAAATATTAAACACCAAAGCTCCTCACTCTTGATTGTGTGGCTGCTGCTGGCACGCGGCTCAGAATTGCCAATTTTAATTAAAAAACTTTTATTTTCCAGTGCAGCCCAGCAATAGCTCCTCCTCCCGGCTGGGGCTCCCTCCCCTGGGCTTGCCTTCACCTCGGCCTCTCTGCCCGCATTTCCCTCTGCCTGCAGAACAGCAACGGTCCCTGCCAGCCCCGAAGTGTGAGCGGCCTCATCTGGGACTGATCAATGCCCCTGGCACTTCCTTCTAAAACCCCAGGAAAAACAATTAAAACCCGATCGATCCTGCAGGCAGCTTTGAATATGCATAAGTGCACACTTGACCTTCAGTGGTCAGGCCAACTTCCACTCTGGCTGCTTAGCTAGTTTGCTCAGGTATTGTGGCTGTACCGAATGACCTTGATTAGGAAAGCAAAACGCGATGCAGGGATTTGTCTGGTGCTGATCCTGGGGCCAGCTCCCTGCTGAGGCTGCTGCTGCAGAGCTGGGGTAGGCAGGCTGGGGTCGGCAGTGGCGCCCAGCTCTCAGGAGCTTTCCAGAGCTGCCCCCATGGCTTTCACGGGATCCTGCCTGTGCTCCCCTGCTTGGCCAGAGTCTGATGAATGTGTCTGTGCTGGGAAGGCAGCCTGAGATATGGTACCTCAGAGCCTGCCTTGTCTCTGTGCAGGGACAGCCCTGCCCTCTCCTTGTGTCCTCCCCTGAAGCCGGTGGGGACACCCCTTCTGCAGGTATGCCCCCAGTGCTGGTGACCCTGGGCCTCGACCTGCTCATGCTGAGCGTGAGGACCTTCCTGTGCTGTGCCTGGACTTGCTTTTTGGGATGGAGCCCAGGAGAGGGAGCCACGTGTGGAGCCACTGCCACCATCACCCAGGGCCACCTGGCAGGCGAGTGGCGGGTTCCCATTCTGCACTCCAACCCTGGCTCTTCCCATCCACCTGCATCCCAGCCATGGCAATGAAGATACCAGAGCGTGTTTGTTGTAGGCAAAGGAAACCTCCCCGTTGTGTACACAAAGTGTAATTTCAGTGAATTATGCATAGACTTAATTAGGAGTTTTAATTGCTAATCATCTCCCAATAGGATTAGCAATGCTGTCTATTAATTATCTGTGGAGCCCTCTGTTTTGCTAAGGCAGGAGTAACAAAGCAGCATGAATGGTTACGTAGTCTGGTAATAAATTAACTCCCCCAAGCCCCATAGCTCCCAGGGGGCTGCCAGCCCTGCCTGCGCTGTGCAGAGCAGCAGGTAGCGGGAGCAGAGGGACTGGCAGCAGGTCCTGGTGGCAGGCAGGGGTGTGAAGGGCTCTTGGGGGGACCACTTAGCTCCACTCAGCCTCATTCCCACTGCAGAGAGCATCTCGCCTGGCGTTTGCAGCCTGTCAGCAATACCCCGCCACGCTGTGGCCGTGGTTAGCGATGATCCCCGCTGCAGGAGGGAGATAGGGGCTGCTGGATTGACCTGATCTCATCTGGGGACAATGGCCCTCACGGCGGCAGAGATAGCACCAGTGTGAGCGACGCTAAGCCCACGCACCCTTCTTACTGCTCACAATGCGGCGCTGAGCTTAATTCCTCCAGATGAAGAAGATACGTGGCTGTCAGGCTGTAATTACAGCCGTGCGTGTGACACGGGGGCCTGGCTGCTTTTATGTTTGCATTGTCCAGTGGGTTTTTGTGTTGCTCAGGCTCCTGGCTGCTTTGCTCCTGCTGGAAGCCCTGCCAGGGGATGCGGCAGGGATGGAGCAGGTTCCCTCTGGCCAGGCTGTGGGCTCTGTGCAGTGGGCTGAGTAATCCTGGCTTCCAGGGGGGTTTTCCCAGTGATGGAGAGCCACAAGGCACCTGTGGTGTGGGACTGGAAAGGAGAGGAGAGGCTGGGGGGGGCTGTGTTTTCTGAAGGGGAAGGGAGCTGCTGGCTACGGGCACCCCTTTCCAAACACCCCTGACTCCTGCTGCTGACTCCATCCATGGTAAGGCAGGAATGGGAAGATGGTGTTGGAGCAACCCAGGGACATGCAAGATGAGCTTACAGCCCCTGGCTCACCCCAGCACAGCAAAGGTGGCTTTGTGTGATGCCAATCCAGCACAGTGCCCAGCAAACCTCATGAGGGTTGTCACCTCTACAGACCACCAGAGTCCTTGCACACATCTTCTCTGAGTTGCATCAGGTGGGACAGGGCAGGGTGAGGGTGCTTCGAGCTCAGGAGAGCTGCAGCAAGGGTGACATACGGGTCCACACTGAGCACAGTGAATGCAGACCCACACCAGTACCAGGAGCAGCCAGGCCTGGGCAAGTACAAAACATGTCTGCACATGATCTGTGCACCCATCTGACCCTCTGCTCTTCTCTTCCAGGCGTACAGCTTTGCCATGGGGAGTTGGCCAAAGAACGGGCTCTTAGACATGAACAAAGGACTGAACCTACAGCACATAGGGAGGCCTCACAGCGGGATAGGTGAGTGATGCTGCCCCGTGCCCTTCCCATCCCCATGGCTGTTGCTCCAGGCACACGGGACGTGCCTCTGTTCCAAGAGCTTGTCCATGCTGGGGTGCTGAGAGCCAGCCAAAGGACTGCAGGGTCTCCAGCTGATGGAGGGGATGAAGACGTGTCAGGGCAGGATGGGCATGTGGATGGGCTTTCCAGCCCTGACACATCCCAGTGTGCCAAACGTATCTCTGGCTGGGGAACTGCTCCCCTCCTTGGCTGCTCTGGCAGTGCTTGGGATGGTGTGGCTGTGGACAACACCAGGGGTTGTGCAGTGCCTGGAGCACAGGGCAGGAGACCCCAGGCTGGGTGGGATGACCTCCCCATCAGACCAGTCTCCAGCTGCTCTGGAAGGGAGGCTCTGCCAGGCAGCACAGCCTTGGGAGCTGGCTGGAAACACACTGCAGGGTGAAGATGCGTGGACCCAGCCGGAGAACTGAATCATCATTCCATTTGCTCACGTGTAATGAGTTTCATGGTCCCACAACATGCTCCAAAATAAACATCTGAGATAACCATGCGTGGTGGCAGAGCTCCATGTTTCCCCTAGCTCCTCCACACCAGGGATCAAAGTGGTACAAGGAGGGAGACCTGGCCCAGGACACTGGGGCCATATATCTGCCTGCTGCTTAATGCTGGAGGCACAGAGCTGGGGCAGCAGCAGGCTGTGGTATGGCAGAAGCTGAGATTTACTGGGCTGTAGGCAGGGCTGTAACTCACGGCTGCATCACTCTTGCCTGTCTCATTTCTCTGCGGGGTGTTGGATCACCTCTTGGAGAGCAGCAGTCAGGTGTTCCCTCTGCCTCCCAGCCCTTCATCCACAGTGACGTGTGACCATTAAAGTTTGCAAGGAGGTAAGATTTACTTGGAAAAGTCATTGGCTACCTGGGCCTTGAAGAGGCTGTTTAATATTGTTTCAAGACTCTAACCATTAAACTCTCCAATCAATCCAAGTTAAGGAGATGAATTATTTAAAGCTCACCAGCTTTTAATTAGCAAGCTCCTTTTGAACTATGGATCTGGTTGCATTATTGACAGAGGTAGCATTAAAATTTGCTTCCTTGCCTGGGAGCATATTTGCCTTGCTTTTGTGTCATGTTGGGGAGATCATGGGAAGGGAGCAGGGACTGCAGGAGTTGTGTGTGCATGTCCTGCTCTGGGGGCTTGGGCTTTTCCTAGGGTCTCCTGAGGGATGCAGGGTTGGTTTGTGCCTCATCTTCCCTCATTTTATTTATGGCAAGAGCTCTCTGTTGCTGTCTTCTCTTACTCTGATAAAGTGTCCCCAGCACTGGAGTATCATCCATCTGCTGTTGGTTTCTGCCCATGTTTATTTCAGTGCTGTGGTCTTGCACAGCCTGATGGAATTCAGAGAGATGCTGCTTATGTCCTTCCCCATTCCAGTTCTTTAGGATGGTTTTGCATCTTCATTTCTGCCAAACTCCCTCTGTGAGGAGCACTCCCAGCTCTCCTCAGTACAGGGTGAACCACAAACTTGTGGTTCAGGATTGCCCATGTTGAAGTAAGGCCCAGCAGCCAAACTCCCTTCTTGCAGCACTCCGTCCCAGAGGCAAACCTGCCTTTCACATGCTGTTTGGAAGGGGTTTACATGGGTGCTGTGAAGGATGCCAGGCCAGCAGCATGACGGTCCCCATCTCCCTGGCACTGCCAACAGTGCACATGTGCCCTGTGCATTGCAGCCTGCTGGCTGCTCCATTTGGGCTGAGTCCAGAGCAGCTCTGCCCTGGGTGTCAGCGATCCACTGCCTGCCCACAGAGATAGCAGCCACTGGCACCCTGTGCTTGGTGCCTTTACCACAGGCTGAGCCCCTGGGAGTGAGCTGGGGGCATGGCTTATTGAATGGCAGCAGGGAGAACAGCTTCTCCTCCCGGCCAGGCTGGGAGCCTGCTGACCACAGCTGGCTTTGGGGGTTGGTAGCCCAGTGTTCCCCCTGGGATAAGGCTCGGGGCAATGCTGGTGTTTGGAGAAATGCCTTGCCTGGCATTTTGTCAGGGCACCAGCCTCCTGGCCACTTCGTTTCCCAGCCTGCTGGCTTTTTGGGTCCTGGGCATGGGTTAAGTGTTGGCTCTAGTGATACCCCAAGAGGTCCTCAGGCCAAGGGCAGAGGAAGTGCTGTTCACTGCAGAGGAGGCCTGGCTTCCTCAGTTCTGGTTTTGCTGCTTCATCCTGGAGCAAGTGTCAGTCCTTCGCAGCTGAGTCCTTCCGTATTGGCTACTGAAACTGGGCACAGTCATCCCAATTGCTGACAGTCACCCTGTGACCTAAGCAGCCCTCACCACTCTCCTCTTTCATGCTCTCAACTGCTCTTGCTTCAGGGCTAGTAGGAGCAATCCCTTTCCCTGCCCAGGGCTGCCCTCCCCTTCCCTTCCTGGCTATAAGGAGCCTTGCTCCTGACACAGCCCTTCCCACTGAGCAGAATAAATGACCCCTCTAGAGCCTCCCTTTCTCTTTTGGGGTCAGTTCTGGGGTGCAGCAGGGTAAAGGGAAGTTGGGGACCTGAGAAGAGGGACTCCGAGATATAACCAGGGTCAGCCTCTGATTTTCATGGCCATTATAGATCACTGATGCCCATAAGTCTGCAAACCTAAGAGTCTTGAGAAGGGAACAGCAAGGACATGTGTTAGCCATCCACACCAGTGTCACGAATACTATGCCATATAAGAGAGCATCACTGCAGCTCCTTTCCTGGTAGCGTGCAGACCAGTCTGGGGGGATGCAGGCAGTCCTGGGAAGCCTCAGCTTGCTTATGCAGGAATGTGCAACATGGATATTTCCCTTCAAATCTCATAGAAGAATTGCAGTGGATGGCCACTTGTTTTTGCAAACAGTTTGCAAGGAATATTGCTGTCTCACCTGATCAGTTGCATGTTGCTTTATTTTCAAATCACCCTCTTGATTCATTGGCTCAGCAGATACCTGCTCCAGATCCCTGCAGTTGGCTTGTTTATGGACTAGTCCCATGCTTCACCTTCTCCCCATCACCTTGTCCAAAATCCAGGGAGTGCAGGGTATTTCAGCTCTAGGGATTCTCTCTGGGCTGAATGTGGCCCTGAGGGCCACACAGGACTTTTTCTGCAGTATCCATCTCTCCCTGAACATGGATTAAATGAGTGTCAGCTCTAGCATGGACTGTAGGATCTTGAGGTGAGGATCTTCTTTTTGTCTGGTGTTTTCTTGGCCCTCAACGATATGGAATCTTGCGAAGAAGTTACTCATCTTACAGATGTGTGTATGTTGCCATTCTTAAAACATGTGTTTGAGGCACTGCTTGCCAAAAACAAGCTGCAGCATGTAACGGGGGTGTTGGCACTCTCACGCAAAGACCAGCACTTACAGGCTCCACACCAGTGGAGTGCATTTCAGTCTCTCTGCTGAGTTTCAGAGACTGATACAAATCAGAAGGATTGAAATCCTAGGCTTTAGTTTTGAATTAAATCAGCCAGTGTGTCATCTGGATTCACAAATTTATTATTTGCCTTTTTTTTCACTTGTTTCTCTAAAAAAAGGCCAAGTTTTACTGACCAGCACCTAATCAAACCAAGTGCAGCTCTTCTTACCACCGCCCAATTTAAAGCCTGGTTTTCTTTTATTCATCAAAATCTCTATTTTTTCTACGTTTATTTTGATCAATTATGTAGCTAAATATGCCTTTAGTTTTACTTTTCAGATATCCGTTATGTTAGAAAAATGGGGAATTACTATTTGTTTTTAAAGAGGTAGTGATTAAATTATTACTCATGTTTACTCTTTTGGGTAAAAATTTGAATGCCATACTAAAGTACCCCAGCAGTAGTTTGAATTGGTTTTATTAGTAAAATCCTGTTTCCCTTGCGTGTACTCATTTCGGAATTCTTTCAAAATACTTTCTAGGTAAAAACAACTGATGCATAAAACCAAAGCAGGAACTGATCAGGGAGTTAAAGGAGTGTTTCTGGAGAGCACCCTTTCAAGATTTTATCAATCATTAGTACATCTCATCCCCTCCCATCTTAATTTGGTGGTTTGTTTGTTTCCCTGATTATGAAAAGATAAAAGGCACACTTTTTTTCCCCTACTCCTTGGTTGTTTCTCAGCTCTGAACAAGCCAGTTATTGAACTGAAAATACACTGAAAAAACAAGAAGTTTCTAAATCTGCAGAAGTAGCTGCTGCTGCTGGGAAAGTTTGTTTCTCATTGTCAGTTCTGCTTCCACCTCTAGTGCATTGACTGTCTTTAAAACAGATGTTGCCCCTTGCTTCTGATCTTTTTGAATCTAGTTGAATTTAATTGAATATTTAAAGTTTAGGCTTCAGCACACACATTATTATGATTTTAGATTTAGTTCTAAATGCCTGGTTTGGGGTTGTTGTTCTTTTCTTCTTTGGGGAAGGAGAGTAACCAGGCTGCTGTGTCTCTTGCTAGTAAACCCACACTACCTATCTCTCAACACAATGCCCTCACAGGGATGTTTTACTCCAGATAGATAGCATAATCCTGTGAGCTGTGAGCCTCTGCACAGGGCTTCACCGTTCCCCAGGTCAGGACTGTGATCCCTCCATGGGGATGTCTGCCATGCCAAATGGAAAAGCCCTACCTGCCTGGGCACGTCAGCAGCCCATGCGGTGAGCGACCCAGCAAGCCAGCGTGCTTTGCTGGCTCCATCTCTCTCTTTTCATTTACTGATTGGAAATCTCGGAAGGTTAGGGTGTGATATTGTTCCTGATCCAGAGCATTAATTAGGCCTCGGAAAGAAGAAGAGGAATTGCGTGTTTTTAACAGTGAGGTTAATGGGATGCTCGCAGAGTAGACAGTTTTAATGAGCTTCAACTCGATGTGCAGTGAGTTTACTCTTTGTGTTAAAAGGGTCACACTGCAGTAGTTTGATGTGGATTGTCTCCTGGCCCCCGGTGTCATAGGTGAGCGTCTGTCAGAGTCCAGTCAGAGCACATTTACATAGTGACACGATTCTAATT